TCATCTGTCCTGGGTTCACTGTATTTCCAGTTCCTATCTGTGCCAGTGTACATCCTTCGGGCAGCCAGATATGTAAGGTAGAATTGGGATTATGGTAGTGGGGGGAGGAAGCATTTAAGAACTAGAGGAAAATTTCATAGTTCATCGTTACTACACTGCACACTGGTTGTGGGTTATTGTTAAACTGTTTAGCGGGGAGGATTTTATTCTTAAAACCAGAAGAAGTTTTGTGAATTTTGACTGCTGTATAGAGTGCATTAGGTAACGAAGGCAAGGATACTTCAGTCTTTATATCCCCTAACACCTGTAGATTCCTTGAGAGCCAAGACTCTAATTTAATAATCTTTGTATCCTTTACAATACTTTGCATGTGAGTTTTCCCCTAATTTGCACTCAGTGTTTGTACCATGAACAAAAAGCAAACGTTAATACTACACAGCACTCATCTATGGATCACTAATGGCCCAGAACCACACTCTAGGAACCACCATAAGAAAAGTTATAGCTACCTACTTATGCAGTGATTATATCACCATATAATACTGTAGTATAGTTGTTACAAATAGGATAGAATAGGTATATACAAAGTGTATTTGGAAGAATTTTAGTGACAGGGCAGTAAATAGAACATGCAATATTCTCTATTAGAGAATTACTGTAATACCAAACTCTAATAAACTCTGACAAAATGAGTATGTTTCAAAATTTAGCAACTTGTGCCTTGGATAAATATGTTTATTAGAGATAAAATCCAATGATAATTATCTATATCTATAAAATGTGGCAATTTAATTTTCTGTAATTTTTATGAATTCCCTTGAGTGTTAACAAATGGTTATCCACTTGACTGCTAACCCAAAGGGTAGAGGTTCAAATCTATCCAGATATACCTCAGAAGAAAGAAAACAGCGATTGAAAGCCTCATGAATCAAAGTTCAACACCGATACATATACGATTTGCTATAAGTTGGAATTGGCTCCATAGCAACTGATTTCTTATTATTATTACGCCCAAGCAACTTCTGGTGTATTCTCAGGCACATGAGGCAAATTAGGAAGTAAAATTAACGTGATCAGAAACTATGGATACAGGTTCACTAGGAGAGACCAATGGTGTATTTTTCCTTTGATGATAAAAATGATATATTTGTCCACAAAGAGTCACTGTTGTTCAATTTAAAACGTTGATTTTTAAGCCAGGTATCAGATACTAGAGCTACTAACAAGTCTTAAATTATTTTTTACCACCTGTTAAAAATGTGGTTCTGGAATAATGTGTTGAGCATAATATTTTGATTGATCATGTAATCGTGTAGATTAGAGATAAGATCTGGGAACTCATGGGCATAGAATAGAATTGATGCCATGACAGGATTTTATATATGTAAACTGACAAAATGTCATTTCAACAGATGGAATTCACCAGAAAAATTTTGTTGCTTTATTTTGGCCATTTATTTTGTTATTTTATTTTCACTGTTTTATTTTGAAGAAATACATTCTCCAATCAAAAGGAGCAGAATCTGAGCCTAAAATATCCTTGAGATATATTGGTGAATAGATGGAAGATTATAATTTAAAAACTTACCAGTATATACATTTTCTATTTTCATTATCTATGTCCTGTTTTAATCATGGATTCACTGCATGAAGCACCTGGGCTACTGCTATCATATGGAATTTTTTATGTTGTGCATCATGTAACAAATTACCTTCAGCCCACATGGAAGAAGCACACCAATATCTGTGATCCAAGGATTGTAAATTATATAATCCAAAGGAACAAATAGTATCAGTGTTTAAATTGTGAGATCTGGTGTGCAGAAGTCTATGGATGGCAATTGAAGCCCAAATTCATTTGCAGGACTACACAGGGAATAAGCCTCCAGTGGATGTCCCTCTAACCATAATTCAGGGATGGAAATAACCTGGTTATTAGAGAGTATTGGAGAGACAACTATAGTACATTAAAATGGTAAATTTGACTTGAATGGTTCAACCTTTGTCATTTGATCTCCCTTTTGATACACTTTGATCTGGTTTATAATATTTTCTGGTTTTTTTTTCATATTGGTGTTTATCTCTTATGTATTCTGTCATTATTGGCTGCCTTCTTGACTCTCTGTTTTTAATTTTTCTGTTTTTTCGTATATTAAACCCAAGATGGGTGAATAGAGACAATAATTAGAATATTGTTTCTGGGGAGTACAGCAAGGGAGGTGGAGGTAAGGGGGAGCTAATATAAAGGGGTACAAGAAAATGTTTTGAAACGGATTGTGATAGCATTGGTAAAATACTGCTTAATATGATTGAACTATGGAATGGTATGATGTCTGGATTAGGTCCTAATAAAATGGTTTGAAAGAAAGAAAGAAATTACCTTCAGGGCCACAGAACTTCAGCACAGTAACTGTGGCTAATCAACTAACCCCTTTACTGTACTGGGATGATTTCCAGCAAAGTCATTAAAATAAACATCTGTAGGCAACAGGACATCCCTTTACAGAAGGATTGCAGGGAGGAAATGAGCCAGTCAGGGTGCAAGGTAGCAACGATGAAACATACAACTTTCCTCTAGTTCCTAAATGCTTCCTCCCCCCCCCACCGCCGCCGCCTACTATCATGATCCCAATTCTACCTTACAAATCTGGCTAGACCAGAGGATGTACACTGGTACAGATGGGAACTCGAAACACAGGGAATCCAGGACAGATGATCCCTTCAGGACCAGTGGTGATACCGGGAGGGTGGAGGGTGGGTTGGGTAGAAAGGGGAAACCGAGATCTCTCATGGAAAGATTCTATTTTAATTCCATTTTCCATGAACTGTTTGAAATCCCCTCGTGTGTATAAATATAATCTTCATTTTAACGAGGAAAATGATACTTGAGTAAATCCTAGAAGATTGTGTACCTGAGTCATAATTATCTGTGCCAATATTGAAATACAGCCTGTGCCTCCCTTGCTTTCTTTTAGCTCAAAACTAACACCATGAGGCCCCACAGAATTAAGGAAACGCTTACTTTAATCAGGCGTAGTATTTCAGGGCAGTCTCGAGCTTCCGCATGTCTTACTCTGAGAGTACTCAGACCCAGTGGCCTCATGCCTGCTTGGCTTAAATATGGTTGATTTGTGTCCAGTAGACTTATACTTCGTTGGTTTATGCCTGACAGGTACAAATCAGCTAGGCTTTCGCTCATGTATGGTTGGTTCATGCATGATTGGCTAATGCCCAGTTGTCTTGTGCTGGTTTGGCTCATGCCTCGTTGGCTTGTGCTTAGTTGGTTCATATCAATAAGTCTTGTGCTTGATTTACTTGTGCTTCCTTGGCTCATGCTTGATTGGCTCATGCTTCCTTGGGTTGTGCTTGATTGGCTCATCGTGGTTAGACTTGTACTCCTACCTGAAGGACTCATACCTACTTGGTTCATGTCTCCTAGGGTCACGTCTAGTTGATTCATTTCAACTAGGTTTGTGCTTGTGCCCTGTTGGCTCATGCCTCTCTGACTTGTTTCCAGTTGGCTGATATCTGATTGGTTCATACCAGATAGGCATATGCCTGGTGGATACGTGTTGCTTTGGTTGACTCCTGGCTGGGCCCCAGTTAGGTTTATGATTGATTTGCTTTTGGCTAGTTCTTTTGTACTACTTAGGCTTGTGTTTGAGTTTGGTAGACTCATTTCTCTCTGACTTGTTCCCAACTGGCTAGCGTCTGGCTGGTTCATAAGAGGTAGGCTTGTACCAGGGTGACACAGGTCTGGTTGGATCATGCCTGGTTGGTATATACCAGTTAAGCTTGTGGTTGGTTGGCTCATGGCTGGTTGGTTCATGCTTGGTAGGGTTGTGCCTTCTTCGTCCCTATGAGATATGTTTATGATTATGTCTGATTGGCTCTTGCTTTCTTGACTTGTGCCAGGTTGACTGGTTTCTGATTGGTTCCTAACAGGAAAGCTA